ACAGGGCACTGGATACCATGGAACTGGAGTTATGTACGGTGCTTAGTTGCCATGTGGTTATTGGGAACCGAATCCAAGTTCTCTGCAACAACAGCTAGTGGTCTTACCCGCTGAGCCATCTCTCCAGTCCAACAATTAGTGAGATTTTATAAATAATGAATTAACTATCTTTCTTCGTCACTGCACCATAAACTTCTGAGACAGATAATATTTTCATTGCTATCTAGTTTGTTTGTAAATAAAGTATTATGAAAAGAAACAAATATCATGATAAGTCTGAGTTGATGCTTCAGTTTCTAATTTGAAAATTTGAAAAGAGGTTAAAATAATTGAGTTAGGCATATACCTAAACAAATATTACCACCACCCAGTACATGTTTGTGTTCAATTTTTGAGGCCTTAGTATATAATGCAATATTTGGTTAAGTGTCTGGTGTTTAATTATAATAATATTTAGTGATGGGAGTCATTTCCTGAATGTTGCTTCAAATCTTCCATTTTAAGCTTAATGTTATACACATTAAAAGCATCCTAATGCATTTGAAATGGCTCACAGGGTAAATGTGCTTGATAGGAAACCCTGACAACCTGAGTTCAATGCCTAGATCACAAAATATACTCATTTGTATGGAAGGTAGCATCAATATATAGCTTTTGTCTTTTCCAAAGCAGAGAGGATAGATAAAGAGAACCCACTCCCTAAAGTTTCCTCTGTGTTTTCTGACCTCCATATGTGCACTGTAGCAGGGCCATGCCAGCCCTCACACACACACACACACACACACACACACACACACACACACACACAAATAAATGCACCCCAAGTGTTAGATAAAATGAATATTGATTGATGTGGAAAGATGAAATCTTTAATTGAAAAATAAGTTTACAACTTGCAAAAATATTGTCATTATATTAGCAAATGCATAGTTTGCTCTTTCATGTACCAAACATCTTAAGAGATTTATATTAATTTGTTGCAGTGGTAATCTGTGACTAGTGGAGATGGCTTTATTCATGTATTTTTATGTGTTCAACTTTCCAAAATGCACACAAAATGTTTTTATAATAATCAAGTAAAAATTCATGCCTCTACCAGAATACATTAGCATTGAGAGAGACAAAGGATTAGTACTAAAGCAATACCTCTATATAGCAACCAATGTGCTGGGGACTGGAAAGTTTAGCAATGAAACGTTGGATTTAATAAAGTTAAACAACACAGCTATACTGATTCAGTAAGTAAACATATTGACGAGGTTCAAATCCATGCTTACATGATTCTAAAGTATTATCTATTTTCATTTTGTTGTCCCAGGTCTAGTAACATACCTCAGAGACATATATACTCAACTGTCTTATCTACCTTTTTCTTCTCTTAATGTTGTTATGTGTATGTGTTTTCCCTCCATGTGTTACTGAGCCTTATGTGAGCAGTGCTGGAAGACACCATAAGACTGCTGGAACTAAAGTTACAGACAGTTGTTAGCTGTCATGTGTGTGCTGGGAACTGAACCCAGGGCCTCTGAAGAAGCAGTCAGTGTTCTTATCTACTAAGCCATCTCCAGTCCCTTGTCCACATTTTTCAGTGTTATAAATGAACATGATCAGAATTGTGGGCCCTGTTTTCATATTATCTTCATCAGTCAATTTAGTCCTCACCACATTGAGCAATCGTCTAGTCATCTAACCTTTTACTTTATGAACATGGTCTAGTGGTACAGGACTTTAATGTCAGCTACTCAGGTGCCTGAGAAAGGAGGATTGCAACTTCAAGATCTGTCTGAGTTACACATGGAGTTCAAAGCTACCCTGCACAGCTTAGTGAGACATTAACAATAAAAGAGAAAATAGCTCAGTAATAGGCTGCTTAAAATGCTTGTCTAGGCCATGGAAGGCCCTGGGTTTAATGTCCAGAATAATAATATATATTAATAAATATAGCAGTTCCAGGACAGCTGGGGCTACAAGGAGACCCTGTCTCAAAAAAGACAAACAGAATAATAATAATAATAATAATAATAATAATAATAAAGTAAAAATAATTTATGTCAAGGAATTGCTGTTTTTGTCATTTTCATAGATGCGTAAATAACACATATGCTGAGCCTATTGTACTAGGTGTCAGGATAGCATAGTTCATATTCAAAGGAAGGGGAAGGGACATTAAGACAGCCATGCATTTACTACACTACAATCAGGTAAATATAATAATAAGCACAATAACAAAGCATTCATCATCATGGAAGCCTGAAAAAGGACTCAGTTGTATACATGAAATCTCACCATGATTAATTGGACAAAAACAAAGGTAATATGCTGTAAAGATAGCTGCCTGTATAGATAAAAATAAACAGTATTTTAAAAGCCCTACTTCAAAATGATCAGTCTATTATGTAACTATCTTCTGTAAACATGGTTCCCTTTCACTGATATCATTAAAGTAATGCTCTGTCTCTCTGGGTTTGAAACAAGCTAGTAGCAAGGAGTACTTCTAGGCAGTGCTTTCAGTGGATTTTAAAATAACATCCCTTACAGTAAACACCTGTGGTCTATGCAGTGTTTCTTCTCTTTCCTATTAACACATGGTGTTCTCACTGAGCAGAGACCCTGAGCTTCTTACACAGAGGCAGGCTTACTGTAGCTATATTATATAATATTTGCAGCGACTAGGGGACTGCCACAAAAACATTCAGAAAGGCTTCATGAATTTTTTCTTAAAATCATTCTAAATTAGCAATTAATGGAATGTTTTTCACAACTGGTTCAACACTCAGTATAAGCCAATAAAAATCAACCTGCAGAGCATTCATTTTTTCATTTACGATAAAATTTTATTTAATATATAAATTTATTTCAGCGGCCATTTGTGTTTCTGTGTGTACATGCGTGCATTTGTTATGTTGTGTGGTCTATGTGTGTGGTAATAAACATGGGAATGTTCCAATGCACATGTCTCAGAGAGAGAGAGAGAGAGAGAGAGAGAGAGAGAGAGAGAGAGACTGTATGGTGTATGTGTGTGGTAAAGAAACACGAATGTGCCAATGCACATATCTGTGCATATGCATGTGGAGGCCAGAACATGACAGTGGGTGACTTCCTCAAGTATTTTCCACCCTTGTTTTAAGAAAGGGTCACTCACTGAACCAGAAGCTAGCCTTATTGGCTAGACTGTCTGGCCAGCAACTTCTGAGGCCTGCCTATTTCTAACCCTCAGCTATAGGCATGCACAGCTACACGTGGCTGTTTATGTGAAGGCTGGGGATTCCAAGTCAGCTCCTCATGCTTGCAGAGCAGAGCTCTGATCCCCAGCTCCTCAGGGGTATTCTTGTTTAGTAAGTCTCTCCTTCTTACTTAAGAAAAGAAATTAATTCATTTCAGAGTGAAGCAGAAGAAGGTGAACTTTTAAGTCAGAAATATGCTTGCAGGAGGAAATTTGAATAGACAGCAAGAGTTAAATATACCTTTTATGAGTGGTTATTAGTAACTATGGTTATTCAGGCAGCACTAATGGGTAACTTTTACATAAAGATTTGTATCCCTTGTATATTGAAGTAAAATGTACTCAAAAGTTTCCTACAATGTTAACATGGTGTGGCTCACGAAGTCCCAAGCCCAGCTGAGAAGCTATTGATAGTTGAAGGCTGCTGCAGGAGAGTTATTTTTATTTCAGGGATGTGGCTGGCCACATGTTCCAATAGACAAGCCGCAGCCTATTATTTGCATGCTAGAGCAGGAATTAGATTCAGTGGGTTAAAAGAATTAGATTCAGTGGGTTAAAAAAAAAAAACTAAAATGAAGTTCCAAGGGAGATTGGGTGCCAGAGTTATGAGAGGAATATGAGGGTGGGAGAGGGGCAAAGATTTGATCAGAACACATTGTACAGATATGTGAATTTTCAAATAAAAATGGTATCTTTAAAAATAAATCACTCAAGTTGGGCATAGCACATACCTTTAATCCCAGCACTTGGGAGGCAGAGGCAGGCAGATATCTGTAAGTTTAAGGCCAGCCTGGTCTACATAGTGTGTTCCAGGCCAGCTGGGGCTATAGGGAGACACTGTCTCAAAAACAAGAAAACAAAAAGAAAAGCAAACAAAAAATCACTGAGTTTATACATGTACTTCTGTATGCTATTTAATTCTAGAAGTAGAAAATACTTCAAAATTATTAGACATTCATAAAATATAAATACCATAACAATTGGGCTATTTAGCTACTAAAAATTAGCCGCTCATATGATCTTCCTTTATTTAAAAAAAGAGGTGCTGGAGAGATGGACCAGCAGGTAAGAGCACTGACTGCTCTTGCAGAGGAACTGGGTTTGATTCCCAGCACCCACATGGCAGCTAACAACCGTCCATAACTCCAGTACTAGAGGATCCAATGACTACTTTTGACCTCTCCAGGCATTGCAGGACACTGTTTCACTTACATACATGCAGGCAGTACACTCATACACATAAAATAAAAGTAATATGAAAAATATAAGTAAAATTTTAAAGAGAACCAAAATATGATAAATTTAAAGTGAGTCAGTGATACTGTTAAGGGCAGTTCTAGAGAAGAACTCAGACTAGAGATGTGCTTTATATTACTTCTTTAAAATCTCACCCCATATGGAAAGCTTTATTTCTGCATTTCCCAATTTATCTCAACTTTGCAAAGAACAGCAAAAACTTCTAAGAAGATGCGCAGCAAATAGTTTGGTCAAAAATTTAACAAATATGTTTTAGAATAAAATAGAATAGAATAAAATCAGCTACATATAAAAAAAACTTTCAAATCTGATAAAACAAAATGTTTTAAAGAAGTAATATAACCCAATTTTTTTCAGGTTAAAAGATTGAAGTGCACTTAGTCACTAGGCATATACATTTTTGTTCACCTCTAAATATCACATGTTAGTATATTTATGAATGGAAATGAATTAAGAAATTATAAAAGAAAAACAGGGGGGCAAAGAAGGTTCTATGTTATGTAACATTTATTTACTAAAATTTGAACATGTTTCCATTGCCAAAAATTGAAAGTCATTAAATTATAACTGATTGCCTTTGGAATCACAAACAAAAGATGGAAGTTCATGATGTCTGCTCTCAAAACATTTATAACAGAGGTGGAAACATACATGCAAACAAATTTACCTATATGTAACAAAATACCATAATTTTAGGACATAAACCTATATTAATTCTAAAACCAAAATTCTAATGTTTTTGTATTTTTAACTGAAAATCAAATATTTTAAGTTTAGAACCTATCATCAGTTCCTTTATGTTTGTTACATTACAGTATTTGCTGTATCAATGACAAGGCAAAATAAACGTCAAATATTTAAGGAAAAGAAGACATGACCCAATACCAGTCCAAGGTCCAAGCACCCTGGCCAGTTTTGAACAAGGGCTGCTGTTTTCTCATTTTCAGGGTTCACACTAGGGAGAAATCTGTCATGTTTCCATCATTATTTATCTGAACCCTAAAGTTCTTCACATTCACTTTTAATCCCTTTGAAGAAAAAAATACTGCACTTTTATAATGACATATTACACATTATCACATTTAGCATTTACAGTCATACAATCACAGGGTTTTTATTTTTTGGAGATAGGGTCTTACATTGTAGCTCTAGCTGGCCTGGAACTGGCATTGTAGACTACCACTAGACTGGGCTCTTTCTTACAGCAATTCACCTGCCTTTGCCTCCCAAGTGCTGGGATTAAAGGCGTGTGCCACCACACCCGGCCATCACAGCTTTTTAATAACATCTATTTTACTCTGAGTATATCTTTGAAGTCCACAAAATAAAATTCTCATTAATTTGGAGTTTATAAATAGGGGAGTTTCTTTCACAGTGAGCTGAATGGGCTCATTTTTGTCCTGTGCAATTTTTTTCTTGTAACTTAACCCATAAACAAATCTTAAAAGTTTAAAATATGCTCAAATATAACATTTGGTATTAAAATAGCAACAGCAAAAATATCCAGTCTATACCTTAGGAGCAGCATATTTTCTGCCCAGCTGCCATACATTCTACATTTACACTAAATATCCCTGCATTGAATGATGGCACTAAAACTCTGTGCAAGTTACTCAAACCACAAACATTCAAATATATCCACAAGTCTTGATAGTACTAAGGCAAGAAGTGAAAGCAAGTACATTCTTTTACCTAAACAAGGACAGAGCATAAAAACTTAAATACGGCTTGAAAGGAAAACATTAATTTTTGGATTAATTTTGAACATTTAACAAGCACAACACTTGACTTCCTAAACTGCCCTAATCAATTAGAGATTCTGATACGAACACAAGATTCTATGACAACTACTTTTAGATAATAAACAACTTTTAGAAAAGTGCGTTTTAGCACCGACAACATACAAACTATATACACCATGATCACAATTCAAGAGTGAAATATTTCCTAAAGTAGGCCATGTGGAAAGTGGAATGTATTTTACAATTGAAACAATGTTACAAAACTATGGTTAGCTCTCCAGATGTCCAAACTGTTTGATAGAAAATATTCTTAATATACCACACATATGTGATGAAAACTAAAACTAATAGTTTCAGTACTGCTAACATGAAAATAAAACAAAATTTTCATAACTCTAACACGATAACTTGATATTCTTCTAGAGATAGACTATCAGTCACTCAAAGACAGCACAGCTAAGAATGAACGACAGCCATCTGTATGAAAAGTTCAAAGCATGGTGGAGAGGTGCGGGAAATTCTCAAATCCAACTTTTGACTGATTCATCTCTCTCTGCTGAAAAGCACACTGGTTAAGCTGGGCCAGCTCCACCTAGAAGAAAGAAAATGAAAGAAGACGACACAGTTAAAATAGCATGTGTAATAAATATGTAGAAGGAAAGTCAGATTGAACTAAATGATAAATCCATAGTCTCTGACGAGATGGCAACCAACCTTAGCTCCAAAGACCTGCATAGTTGCCATGAAGGCCTGATGCAAGCGGCCCTCCACCCACGAAGAGCTTCATCTCGGGCCAGTTGTAGCAGTGGGTGTAGAGGGCATTGGGGAACTCCTCCAAGCCAGCAACGTAATTCTCTAAGAGGTCATCTTGGTTTATCCAGCCACTGCCACAGGTGAGTTTGAGCTTCCTCCCCGAGGGCACAGGAAATAGGTCAGGACTGGCTGAGGACCTTTCCTCCAAGAACTTCTGGGCACGGATGTCATAGAAGAGTAGAGAGCCATGGCCTGTGCCCACAGTAACGATGTGCTGGTGGACACTCAGAGAACGCACACCTGTGCCTCCCTCACGGGAACACAATGGTGGTATGTTTTGCTGGCCCTGTCGCAGATCCAGGAAGGAGACATGAGACTGGGATCCCACTGCATAGAGGGACAAGTCATCACAGTAGGTGAGGCACACATTCTCTCGGCAGTATGGCAGCCTTATGGACAGCAGCCTGGACAGGGAGCTCCGGGCTTTCCACAAGTGAAAGTAGCCGTCCAGCGACACGGCTCCCAGCTCCTGGTTTTTGCTGCAGAACGCCAGGGCTCGCACTTTGCGGTTACCTGGGTTGGTGGTGGCTTTGGGGATGGCCTCCACATTTCGTGGACGGATGTGAGCATAAACCGGAAGCCCAGCATCCTTGTGCCAAGCAATGCTGCCATTAAACATATCAGGATCCACCCGCCATAGAGCCACGGTGCCATCGCGGGAACCACTCACGGCCACGGTGTCACTCAACCAGGCGATGGCAAAGATCCAGTCCTTGTGGCCCTGGCAATCTCCCAGGCACACAGGGTCCAGGGTAGGCAGCTGGTAGACAGCTAGGCTATTGGGGTTTTCACCACCAGTGGCCAGGAGGGTTTTGGATGGATTCAGCTCCACGGCATGGATGCCACAGGAAGGCGGGCCGCGGTTCACTTCTGGCACCCTGTCGCGCATCAGGGGAATGCGCATGATGTGGCCCGACTGGACATCCACCACAAAGAGGGTGTTGCACTTGGTGCCGCACACCACTTGCCTGGCGTTGAGCCACTGCGAGGCGAACACCTTGTTGAGGGGGCCGAGGGGTAGCTGGCGCTCCCGCAGCAGCTCCGGAAGCCTGTGCACCGCGTAGCTGCGCAGCTCGCCCTCGAAGCCCGCGAGCCTGGCGTGGCCCGCATCACCCAGCTCGCGGCCCTTTACATAGTGAAGCAGCGAGCGGCGCGCCGCGGGCCGCCGCGGCCTCTTGGGAAGGAGCTGAGGTCCCTCCGCGTGCCCCGCCGCGGCCGCGGTACCCGGAGACGACGAGCTCCCGGCGCCCTCCTCCACCTCCTCTGCTCTCCGCTTCCTGCTACCTGTTTGCTGTGGGGCCATGGTGGGCAGCGGACGGATGCTTGGCCCCGTGGACTGTGGCAGAGGCGGGGAAGAAGGCGTCTCGGCATCGGCCTGCCGCATGAGTACGCAAGGAGCTGGAGGCTGGGCGACCGCTAAGCAGAGACCACGGAGTCCTGTACGTTGGCGGCAAAGGGGGTGAAACCAACGTGACCCAGCGAGCGGTGCGAGGTCGGCGGAAAGAGACGAGCGAGCTCGGCAGGATCCTCCCGATCGGCGCTAGGACCTAAGATGCAGAAACGGTAGTTGGAGGGAGGCGGTGGTAGGAACCAGCTCAGCGCGTGGACTGCTGGGCCTTGAGGGACAAGTTTGTATAGGATGAGGACAACCGGGCGAGGCGGGGAGGAGGGCAGAGGAGGGAGGAGGAAGGGGAGGACAGGGCGGGGCGAGCTGACTGAGAAAGGCAGAAAGGATGGGAGTGCGGAAGGCAGAGTAGTAAGGGTGGAAGATCAACAGGGTTATGGATAACTCGGCCCCAGCCAGTAGGGGGCGGTATGTGGTAGCAAAGCCGCGGAGGTACAAATGTGCTAAGACTGCTAGGAGGGAGCCTGGAGCTGAAGGGAGTATGATTCTAGGGCCAGTGATCCAGCACCCTCAGAACTAAGTCAGGCTTAGCCATCCTCACAACAGCAGCCAAAGAGCCTTAAAATCCCTACTGCAATAAAATCTGAAACCTAACATATAGTCAAGCCTGGAATGGGAAGGGGTCTTAAGCATAGTCTGTGGAGAAAAAACATGTGTACTTGATGTGATCCAGGAGACCTTGGACTAAGGTTAAATATTGAACTTGGCAGGGAATGGACGTGATTGACAGTCCTTGTTCTTTGGCGCAGCCCCTCTTGCCTCAGCCTTCCTGCTAGTGATAGCTTAAATATTTTCAACTAAATATTTTTCTTCCTCCTCAAATTAATTATTTTTTCACCTGTAACAGAATCATCTGAGAACAGTCCAAAAAACTAGATCGTTAGGCCTCAAATTCTGCCTACCCATGGTGTGATGTCCAGGATTTGGTAGTTCATTAGGCCACAGTCTTGAACACGGGGTGGTAGTTCTGATGGGCTAAGGGATTATGACAATGGGTATTTTGGAGATGTTAAGGCCACTTGTATCTCAGAGTACTAAGGTAGGGGAGCAGAATACTGAAAATTCAAACACTCCTTTTTTGAAATCTAGGGAGAGAGGTTCAGTATTCCCATTGTCATTTCTAGAGGGCAATGACCTTGGGTTGAGTACTCTGAGACCTTGGGATGGGGATCTGAAAACCAAGCAGAATTTTTGTATACAGAAGAGGAGATAGAGCATATTCCAGAAGGAAATAACCACATGAACACAATGGGAAGACTACAGAGGTCTGGATCATGGACACTCAGGAGTCAGAATGGAAAATTTGATACCATACTTTATTGCTTCGAATATCATATCCCATGACAGACCTCTACCTAGTAGCTAAGTGACACTGTGATTTTAGTTAAACAGTGATACCTTGCACAGAGAATTGCGTGTGGTACTGACTCTATTTTTTTTTCTTTTCTATTGAAATTTTGAGAATTTCACACAATATATTTTGATCATATTTAGATCTGTACCTTATCTACACTTCTACACCTCCTTAATAACTCCCTGCCCACTTTCAGGCACTATATAATATAAAATAACATGAAATCAGGCAGGGGGTAATATGTATTAGAGTACATCTAAATATGTCTTAATCTCCCTCCACCAAAAATAGTTTTCTGTGTGTGTGTGTGTGTGTGTGTGTGTGTGTGTGTGTGAATTTACTTTTCAGACCACTTATGCAATATTATAAACTATTTCATTTGTTTCCTTCCCCTAAAATACTTCTCCATACTTTGCTGATTTTCTTTCTCTTTTTGCACTTTCACTTCAAGTGCAAATTGCAAGTATAAGCCATGAGTCCTTACACCATTCCAGTCCAACCATTATATATCTCTACTTGCCAACATTCTCCAGCATCACCATTCTGACTCTTAGCTATAGTGTTCATTTTGTGGCAACAGAATAGATTAAATCATTTGGTGATTTAGAACATAAATTTAGGTGGGGCCTCACGGTGAGGGTTCAGTTTTGTTTCCAATGGTAGGTGTGGGATGAATAGAGGTTTTGGAAAGAGGTAATCACAGGTGAACAAGTAAAATAGTCTATATAAATGACTCTCGAATTTTATTGCGCATTAAAATCAAAAGAGAAGCTTCATGAATCGGCACCCCACCTCAGCTCCTTCCATAAATATTTGATACAGGTGACCAGGATCATTCTTTGAGAAACACTGGTTTATTCTCCTCTCACCCAGTTAGAAGCAGGAATTTTTGCTGTTAGGAAGGTGAAATCTTCAGTGTACTTCAGTGTAACCCTCAAAATGGAAGCTGTCTAGGTGATTATTGTGGGAAACGGGGGTATTATTTGCCCTTGAGAAACAGTAATATACCTACACATACGCATTCAAGAAAATAAATTAGTATAAGTAGTATATGTCCCCAAAATGCACACCAATATAGTAAAGACAGAAAAATTAGAAAACTAATGGTTTATTGGGAGTGGTTTGGAGGTCAGAGAGATATGAGAGGTGAAATAAGAAAAAATACATGACATACATGTATGAACTTGGTACAACATACAAATATTTTAAAACATTATCTGTCTAGAAGTAAACAGATAGAAATTATACAATAACTGTAGGGGAAAACCAAATTGAATGACAGCAGAAGAATTCAGATTGTAATACTGAGAGAAAGATATGTCAACCATAAATTGTATATAATGCTATTTTTTCAGGCATCAAGTAAAATCAAGACAACCTTCAGTGAAGGAAAATTGAAAGGATATGCTGCTAGAAAGCAGCCTTCGTCAGGCAGGCCTAGAAGTACAGGCCTAACATTCTACTTATTCACATGAGAGAGAGAGAGAGAGAGAGAGAGAGAGAGAGAGAGAGAGAGAGAGAGAGAGACTAACTGTATGTGTGTACTTGTGTGTGGTGTACGTGTGTGTCTGCATATGTGCACATGTGCCATAACACTCTGAAGGAGGTGAGAGGACAACATGGAGGTATTGCTTCTCTCCTTCCACCTCGTGTGTCCCAGGGATTGAACTCAGGTTGTCAGTCTTGGCAGCAAATCCTTTTACCGACATAGGCATTTGACCATCGCAGAAATCATGAATCTTAAAAAAAAAAAAAAAAGATACTGAGTTTTTGTGCATTTCATATAATAGATCTTAGTCAAATTTAGAACTCCACATCCACATCCCCCATACCCCCCATGGGATTTCATGCATTTTGTCATATATGATAACTCCTATCTGGTCAAACATTTGTATCCAGATGTCTCTCAGTGCAAGTTCATCCATTGGAGTCTAGTCAGCCCATCCAGAGTCACTCCCTTACTCTCCCTCAACCCACAGTAATCATTTACCAATAATACCTCCTCAGATAGGGTTGGTGCATGCTGCCCATTTCCCCAGTTCTATGCTGCATTTTTGTCCAGTTGAGTTAGCATGGGCCTTGTGCATGCCATCTCCATTGTTACAAGTTCATATGAGCAAGTTCCCATTAGAATAAAATCCTCTGTTTCCTTATGTTCATGCACTAGCCATGGTTTTCTACCCCATCTTCCTCAATGGTCCTGAACTGTGTGTGAGTGAGGTTTAATATGGGAGTCCTATCCAGGGGCAAATACTTCATTCCGTGTGTGTGTGTGTGTGTGTGTGTGTGTGTGTCTGTGTGTCTGTGTGTGTGTCTGTGTGTGTGTATCTGTGTGTGTCTGTGTGTCTGTGTGTCTGTGTGTCTGTGTGTCTGTGTGTGTCTGTATGCATGTGTTTGAGAGGGAAGTATGTGTGTGACATACCCATGTGTGTGCGCATCCACTTGCACATATGCAAAGTCCAGAGAAGCACACCTATCCTGTTCTATTATTCTGCACCTTATTGCCTTGAAACAGGGTCTTTCACTGAACCTTGAGCTAGGTTGTGGCCAGCAAGCCCCCCAAACCTTCCTCTGTCCACCTCTAACAGCACTGGTGTTACAGGTGTATGTGTTACCATGCCTGGCATTTTATATAGGCATTGTGGATGTAAATCCACATGCCTGCCATTCTATGTGGGTGCTGGGGATTTAAATCAGCCCTCAGGTTTGAGCAGTAAGTTATCTTACCTTCAGAAACAACTCCCCAGTCCAAAAGTCATGATTCTCTAGTGAAGAATTAGTTATATTTAGTTCTAATAATGAATATTAAAGGGTTTACATGAATATTCTATTCAGCTGCCTCTTTTATTTGGTAAAATGAGAAGCTTAGAAATTTCATATTCCCACAGAATTTACACAAGGATATGCAGAGACATCTACGAAACACGTACATACATATATCTAACTTGACTTCCTTGATTTTTTCCAACTTATTTTTTAAAATGCAATAACTACTGTATCAGTACACATTATACATTACTAAGTGCATGAATATCTAATTAATTAAATAAAACTTTGAAATAAGTTTGTTAATTTATAGTTCAAGACCCGAATTAACACTAAAAGGTTTTTTTTGCCATTAAAAATTTGGCTGAGGGAATGGAGAGATGGCTCAAATGTTCAGAACACTGGTTGTTCTTGCATAAGACTTGGGTTTGTATCCCAGCATCCACATGGCAGCTAACAACCGTGCCTAACTCTGGTCCCAGGGATCCGACAGCCTCTTCTGACCTCTGTGGGCATTGCAGTTACCTACATGCAGGCAATACATGCATACACACAAAGTAAAAATAATAAATAAAAATTTTGAAAATTGGCTGATACTTGGTGAGGCAGACATTCAAATATTTGTTCATTTATTCCTTTCTTTAATTTTTGAACAATTTTCCATTTTTGAATTAGGTGGCTGTTGTAGCTCAAAAAATATAACATGAAATTACAAAGTTCTAACTACAAACAGGTTTATTAT